ACATGTATTTCCCGACCAGATGCTGCCACCTTCTTTTTGATTTATCTTTCAGCTTATCAATACCCGGAGGATCTTTATTATCCTTGGTAACCTCCGGCGCGCGACGATCCCATCCAATTTGGTATCGAACCAACATCACGTTGATTCTGGTGGGAGAGTAGTGTAGTGGCATTGGACAATAGCCACACAATCCACAAAGCTGTGAACACGAGACTACTCAGGAAATAGATATTCAATATTTAACTCGGGGAAATACCTAAGAATGGAGAAGGCGCGAAGAATGAATTGAATGGTCTGGAGTTGATCGAGTGGCATGGCTCGGCCATGCAGGCGTGGTCTCTATTCATATTAAATATATTGTTCCTTCTCTAAACTAAGCTGGTTCTTCATCATGTATTGGTAATTGATACGATACAGAGAGTTGGCGTAGTCGATGGTGTGACTTCCACGTAAGATCTTATAGATTAGGCAGTTATATCATGACGAGTCTACAAATTTAGGATTAGGTCTATTATTAGAGCAGTACTAATATCATAGTAGACCATAGTTCTACAAGTATGTGATCATACCCGTGCGATGGTGGCAGTGGTCCTACAATGTCTAAGTGAACGTGATCGAAGCGAGCATCAGGCGTAGCAAATGTGCCGAGGGGGGCGGCTACGTGCCTGTGCACTTTTGATCGTTGACATTGTAAGCATTGCTTAGCCCACATACGAACATCTTTATTCATGGACGGCCAGACGTATCGTGCAGCGATGAGACGTAATGTAGCTGCGATACCTGGGTGAGATAATCCATGCAGGGCATCGAATACGAGACGGCGATAAGCAGAGGGTACGATGGGTCGAGGAAGACCGGTAGAAGTATCACATAGAATGGTGCCAGAAGTCGTGGCTAGAGGTACTTCCTGATACTGAAGGGACGTAGAGTGTGGTGCTTCTGTACAGCTGGGATCGTTTGCTTGGGCAGCGGCCATAGCAGGAAGATCGAGCACCGGCAGGGTAACTGCATTCATTTGGATTCGTGATAGAGCATCGGCAACACAGTTCGACTTGCCTTGGATGTGACGAAGGTCTGTCGTGAACTGGGAGATATAGTCCAAATGTCTGCACTCTCGTGGTGAGTAGCGGTCAGACTTGGTATGCAAAGCATACGTTAAGGGCTTATGGTCGGTGAATAAAATGAATCGACGTCCTTCTACTGCGTGCCGAAAATGTTTGATGGCGCAGTAGGCTGCTAGCAGCTCGCGACCAAAAGCGCTATATCTCGTCTCCGTGGTAGTGAGGCGTCGTGAGAAAAACTCGAGAGGTTGCCAACTACCGGAGATGTTTTGTTGCATGACTGCTCCTATAGCAACATCGGATGCATCAACCGCTATACTAAGCGTGGCTGATGGATCGGGATGGGCGAGAAGAGTGGCTTGCGCAAGAGCCGTTTTGATTTCAGTGAATGCAGTACGTGCAGAATCGTTCATTTCCAATCTGCGTGGGTTGCCGCGTAGTAAGTCGGTTAGTGGTCGTAACCGTTCTGCCGCGTGTGGGATGAAACGACGGTAGAAGTTAACCAAACCGAGAAAAGCCTTCAGTTCCTTGAGTGAGGACGGCACGTTGTACTCCTTTATTGCTTGCACTTTGTCCTCACAAGGTAAAATACCCTCTTGCTTGATAACATGACCCAGAAATATTATTTCTCGTTTACCTAACTCGCATTTGTCTGGGTTGACTACTATTCCGTTATCCGAAAGGCGTTGGAATAATAGCGTAAGATGTTGATAATGTTCATCTACGTTTGATGATGCGATTAGCAGGTCATCAATATAGACGTGAACAAAATCGAGGTCTCGTACAATGCTATCGATAAACCTTTGAAAAGTTTGAGCAGCATTCCGTAATCCAAATGGCATTCGTAGGAACTCAAACAAACCGAAAGGAGTCGTGATAGCTGTCTTTTCGATATCTTCAAGAGCGACTGGGATCTGATGATATGCTCGTACCAGATCGATCTTAGAAAAGATAGTCGTGCCCTTGAGCGATGCCGTGATGTCGTGTATGTGGGGGATGGGGTAGCTATCAAAGCGCGTAACTACGTTTAGAGCTCGGTAGTCGCCGCATGGTCTCCAACTAACCCCATCTTTTTTGCGCACCATGTGTAGAGGAGAGGCCCATGGACTGTGAGAAGGACGAATAATACCAGTAGCTAGTAAATTGTCAAACTCACGCTTAGCAAAAGCTAATTTGTCCGGTGCCAGTCGGCGAGGTCGTGCCGTGACTGGCGGTCCGCGGGTGACTATGTGGTGTACCACACGATTGGTCACCGATGGAAGCTCCTCGAGTGGTTTAGTGAGTACGGGGAATTTCTCGAATAAAGCGTGGAATTTATCGTCACGCGAGTAAAAAGTGCCGAGGATTCGGTACGCGTTCATGTGGGCTTTACAGCCCATGAATTTGCTGTTCGACGAAGTATCGATTAGCTGCAGCCTACGTGAATCGACAAGCAATTCATAGTGCTGTAGAAAATCGATACCTAGTATGGCTGTGGGAACATCAGCAATGATGAACGTCCACAGATACCGTCGTCGGTTGCCCAGGTTGACCGCGAGTTGTCGTGTACCGTAGGTAGGAATGACTGAGCCATTCGCAGCGCGTAGTCGAAGCACTGTGGCTTGTGACTTGCTGCTACCTCGTGGTACGACAGAAACTTGGGCCCCAGTGTCTACTAGGAACCTAGCGTTTGTGCGATAATCGTGCACATAGAATAGGCGACCAACCTGGGGGGAAGGGCCGGCGAGTACGGCCGCTTTTACTCGCCGGCGCTGGCGTTTCCCGCCTTGTATGAGCATGGTGCTCGACAACGGCGGGCGCCAGACCCGAAGGACCTATGGAACCAGCACCACTTGTCACTCGCTTCCGTAGCCGCCTTTCGGCGTGGCCTGGAAGATGCCCTTTTTGGGCGAGTGGTGACGGGTTTGCGAGAACTTGAGCGAGCTCGGGGGACGTAGGGTTGGGGTACGTTACAACGGTCTCGAAAACTAAGACGTGTGTGAATACACCCGTCCCTGTCACCATGAGCTGAGGAATGACCGGCGTCCATGTCTACTTTAGGACGTGCCGTCGAAGCAACAACATAGGTGTCTCTATTGCTAGTCCTCGCCAAAATCTTGTCTGCTATGAGGGCTACCTGATTAAGCGGTGAGTCCTCGAGCAGTGCCGTCACAGTGGGTTGGATATGCGCTGGTAGTGACTCAAGCCACAATTCCTTAACTATTTCTGAGTCACTTGCTGTTGGTCCTGCAAGAGATTGCAGGCGCGTGAGGTGGTGGCTAGGTTTAGCATCACCCAGGGGGTGACGTGCTAACAGTGTCCTCAATCGTTCCTCCCTCGATGGGAGGAAATGTCGGAGAATAGCCTCTTTGAGGCGATCATAAACATTAGGCACGTTAGAATTGAGGACGACCTCACGAACAGCTACTAAATGGTCCCCGGGTAACGATTCGAGAGCGTAGGCGTATTTTTGCCTTTGGCTCGTGATACGACGAGTCTCGAACTGAGACTCTATTGCAGCAAACCAGACCTCAGGGTCGTGGGGGATAAATGATACAGGTCGAAAATGAATGGCCTGTACGTCTGAGTCTATAACATTAATAGTATTCTTCTCGCTATCCGTCATGTCGTGTATATTATATATTAAAAATTAATATGAAAATATACGACAGACGTGGATAGATAAATAATAGACTCACCAAATTGACTTCTTTGGAAGATTTGACCCGAGGTTGCGGCGTGTTCCAAACTTTGGGATCACCAATTGTATTGTGGCGTCGAGTTGAGATTAACTGTGAACACCGCTACCAGGAAACACCTGCCAGATAACTCAGAAGGCGAGAGTTGAATGTAACCAGATTTATTTCGTTGGCGATCTCGTGGTATTGAACGAATACCGAGATCGTGCCAAGAGAAGGTACAAGCGAAAGCAGAAGACAGGAGTACGTGCGAACAGTACCAAAAACCGCGGAACAATAATGGAAGGTAATGGAAGCACAAAATGGCTACAATTAGCACAGTTAAACAAAAGCACATTAAAACAAACACTGGTACAGTTGGTTGTAATAATAATTGTTTTTATTAAACCAGTCGTGTTCTCGTGATAAACGTGAGTCACTACAATATATAAGTTAACGGAAGTTTTCAGATCGTTCGGGCAGTACATTGCCACAGCTTCCGATGGCGCTTTGTCTGAAGTTAATAAGTTTCGAGAGAAAGTCAAAATAATCTTTGAAGTATCGGGTCAGCGTTTTTCGCAGTTATATCGCGTCCAATCCTCATACTTATCACAAGTTTCTTGGCTCCTCTTTTACTGACAGGCACTTATAAAAAACCACTTCAACGAAAATGAAATCGGCTTCGGAATCGAAATATCAATTAGCAGTAGCTAGAATTAAAACTCAATTGAATAGCCATTTGGTAAAAGCGGATTGAGGAGACACTTCCTCTTGAAGATATATTAAAACAACGTTATGATTAGTATTCGTGTCAATGCATGCCATGCATCCCAAGAACCTTAGGTTTCATATCTTTCAAATAAATTTGAAGAAACCCGTGCAAAATTGTGAACTGCACCGAATGTGCGTTACACTGTTTTTTGGCGGCATGTGCTCGTTTTTGCCCGAATTGCTTGGGCCTGAGTTTTTCCCCAAAATTTGACCAAGATCACCCAGCAAAAAGCCAGAATTTGTAACTTAGGCATAGTCAACTTGTTACAATCATTGCAATGAATGCCCTTGGGAACGCTCATTCTATTAGTGGATAATTAATTTACTGTGCACATTTGTAATCACGTTTGCAACTGTTTATTCTGATTTTGCATAGGAAATTTGACCTTGGGTACTTTGTACCCGAAGAATGCATCACGACTTAGAAACACAAATCATCAAGTGGAATGACATTTAAATTCTAATCTAAAGACCTGTAAATATATCTTGTTTATAATCTAGTAAGTTACTACAAAGATTTTTGTGTTACACATTCTGGCGTATATTCGTCCTAATATGAATTCACATTTATAAATTAGGGGCAGTGTATCGTTTAACCAAAGTGCCTTAGAACGACGAACACTGAAGGTGTTTTTTCGGCGAGACTACAATTTATGGGCGACCTTTGTGCGAAACTGAAGTGACCTTGAGAGTGAACAACTACTAATTAGGGCTAAATGAGGGTTATAAAGCAGCCAGAATTGTCATTTACAGCTGATGGTTAGGGCTAAAAATTAGATTTAGGATTTTCATCACGAACTGACATCAGCTATAATGCCAAAACTTGTTATCTTCTATCTGACTGGTTCGTCCATAAATTATAGTCTCGCCTCCAAAATAAGTATTTTTCTTGGAAGGCCACTCTCCGATCTTTGACCTAGAGGTCTAATCCACAAGGTGGTGGAACAACGTCAGGAGATGAAGTTCCATGGTAGCAGGTGTCCAACTCTTCTCACCTTCGGTCGTACCATAGCATTTAGGGTCTGGTGTTATGAATACACCTGAAGGGAAATTCAGCAAAGTGATCCGTGATTAAATATTGACTAGTCTGTTGGTTATTTCAACATGAGCTCATATTTGTCGTAATTGAAGTGCTTTTTCTATTCTACCGTTTTATATATTGCCATTTATGAGTCAGATTTATTCCTTCGGCTACTTGTACTGCCTGAGATAGTTAAGACGATGCGCTTGAATACAACGCTTTCCTAGTAAGCAGTAGATCTATTCAATGTATTGGGATATTTTTACATTCATAGTTAAGGATGTTCAATAATTTCACAGAATTTCCACTACTTAGATGTTTTAATGATATATATATATTTCAAATTTATGTTTTTTTGTCTACTGGTAGGCATTATGTTGGTCGTCAGATATGTATTCCTTAATAAATTTGTCTTTGAGTCGTGGCTCTTATGGTACTCAAAACATCTTCAAGTTGCTTTAAAAGACGGGTAAGGTAAGAATAGATTAATTACCTTTTATTTGCTTCAGAGCTTTTTAGCCCATGAGTACTTTTGCCTTATTGATCGGTTGCATTTCTCGCTGGACAAGCTGAAAGTCGAGGATTAAAATAGACGAAATATTTTTTTAACATCCTGCTATGTACATAACACAATTCCAATATTTTTCACTGCATTCCTCAAATGCTTCCAAATATATCGTTGTTATGGATTTGAATGCCTTTTGCAGAAAAACTGTCTGTTTGAAGTGATTTTCTATTATATTTGGATTACAGTGATACGATAATGAATTAATATCACAGGCTGGTTAAACACCCTCAAGATCTGTAAGACCGAAGGAAGTAGACTTTAGGAAAGTTGTTAAATGTATAGTATATTTTAATGTTGTATCGAAGCACACACGACTTGGATTTACTTGTCATATGCAACATAAACCGAAAAAGGAGTATCTTAGTCAACATTAAGTATAACCACCTAAAGTGAATTAGCATGGGCTTTATCAATTCGTGGTTAATCACCACATCCCTCAGCTTGTTGTGTTATTTGGGTTGGGATTGAATTATGGAACAACCAAGGATACTTGAACCTAGGGATGAAACCCTAAAATTATTGAGTATCTGTTTGGTTGTGCTTAATTTTGTATCATTTACCCGTCTGTTTGAATATATTTCTGTCAGGTATTGGATATCACTATTTAAACATTAAAAATCATATTTTTATTCACCAGTTTTTTTTCCATACATCTTAGAGTGCCACAGTCGATCTTGATGCAGTTGAAGAGCCAAGTAACACATTTACAGACCGACATCTATGTGGTAAGTTCGTTCTAGTATCTAACAATTTATTGATCAGAAAGTCGGGATAGATTTTTGCTTAATAGCATCCTAATATTTGTTCTTCGAAAGGGGTATACAGCAATTTTAAAAGAAGGTAATCATGAAGTTTACATTATCAGTATTACCATTTTTATTCATAAGTTTTGTTTATTGAAGTTGGGGTCAAATTAAAGTCCATGAGACATTTATTGGTTAGGACAGTATTACAAAGTGGTGAACAGTGGGGTCAGTTGGGTTGTCTCTGAATACTTACGTAATAAATAAAACTTTAGCATCATTAGATATTTACTGACCTCAGATGCAGCGTTGCTTTATCTCTTTTTAATGATCAGCTCATATAATATTTTTACTAAATATTTCGTCTGTGAATTAGAGGTTTACTTCAGACAGGGATGCTTAACTCATTGGTTAATATTTCTGTCTTTTGAAGTTTGTCCACTTGATATGGGCTTCATACTCGTTAACGATAATCTACTTGGTCAAATGCTTGTTTGATCAGAATTTGTTTCGTTCCTGTTATAATGAAAATTAAAACAAACTTCCAATAAAAATACTTGTCTCAGGCCAATTAAATCGAAAAGTGATCAGTTAAATAATTATCATCGATAATTTAAAATTACCACAGTTGATGGATAGACATTTTCTCAAAATTGTTTTTACACAACTTAGCATACTCATCTGAATATTTATTTCTCCTCTTGTGTTTTTTTTATTAGTTATTCAGCTTTACGGTCAATTGTGTCTTAAACCACCACCTTTTTGTGTATGGTGTTGTGCAACGGTGTTATTTTCCAAAACTTTAAATGAAAATTTGATTGAGACTGATTCTAACAATTGCAATTTATCTACTAATTATCAAGATCAATTAGAGACTTTAATTACTGTGGGAAATAATTTATTTTCTAAACTAAATGATTCATCGCCGTATAAACCATACCTTAACACTTATTTAAAGGAGGCTAGACGTGTTGTAAGTTCTCACTTATGTATTATATTGTTGCATTTGAACATGATACTATTATTATTAACTACATGAGTGTACATAGCCCCCAAGCGCCCTGGTATGGCCGAGAGCGGGGTGGGTTCGCCCTCCCTCTCGAAATACTCACACGGCCGCGCGTATACAGCCTCTGCCAGGGAAGTTCTACTCACTGCCTTCTCGTGGCGGGGGTGTTGTTTACGAAAATGAGAGGACGAAAAGTGAATGTCCGGCGTTTTAACCGGATTCCAAATCTATGGTGCACATGGGCACCAGTATCCTGCGGGAACAAATGGCGTATGAACCAATTTTCGGTCACCGGCTACCATGGGACTGCATCTCCTTACGATGCTCCACTGCCTTGTGGGTTAGACCTTCAGGTCAAGGGCTCGGGGTGTGGCCCTCTGAGATAACCACCTGCTTCGGTCTGGGCACCCGGGCAGTATCGCAGCCCACACGCAATTTATGAACTGAAATTGTGTGGCGCATATATATTTGGCGCACTCCTGTACCAATATATGTGTTCAAATAAAATAAAATAAAATACATCTTATTTAAGGTTTTATGTGTTCTTATTGTGACTATTAAGAATTACTTAAAGTAATGATAGTAAACGACAATATAGAGGATTAACTGATATATGTAGAAATCATTTCACCAAAGTAAGTAGATATATGGGTCGTTTCTATGTTTATTTTATTTAAAATAATTCAAGAATATTATTTAGCTTGCTGGAAATGGTTCTATAAGAAGCTCGATAGTTGAAAACCTTGTAAACACAAGCCATTCGATCAAAATGAACTTTGCGTTCAAAATCATCTACAAGGTAACTTGAAAACTGCCATAGCAGTTAGCTCCCGTCTTCTTAACATTGCCGAGGCATTCGCTATAAAGTTTGAAAAACTAGGGTCACATGTACAGAAGAAATTTGTAAAGCCTTTTTTTCTGCCATATTCTTAATCTTTCGTAACCTTTTAAAATCTTTTCTCTCAAAGCCATCTGTTTCCCTTCTATCTTTTTTATGGACTTTTCCTGTTTCTATGGTCCTCCTGATTAAAGTTAATCTGAATTTCAACATTTTATCTCATCTCACTAAGTCTTTCCTCTGCAACTATAATTTTTCTATGGATCTCCTTGATGAATATTCAAGCTCTCAACAATGTTACTACTATTCTAATAAAAATAACGTTTTTACGTCTTCATTTATTTTACCTTACTGTTTCTATGTTTAGCGAAAATAAGTTACAGACACGTAATTAATAGGGCAAGCAGCTAACTTACATACGACTATATAAACGTCAGGGTTAATAAGCAAATAAGTGACAAGTTCAAAATGTAGCTTGAGAAGAATGAATAAATTGGCCTATCAAAAAGCTAGAAGAACCTATATGAGCTCGACATGGTACCAGCCGCTACAAACTCTTCTCTGAACCAGTCTTTCTTATTTTACACCTCACTAGATGGCGAAGGTGCATCCACTCTTTGTGTCCTCCCAAATTCTAATCTTCTGAATTCTTCATGTCCTTTTTTCCTCTTTCCAAATTTATTTCACTGGATTATACTCTTTAAATTACATCTCCAAACCCTAATCTTCCCGATTACTGCTTATACTCTTGCTACCTCTACCACTACGGGATTTGAATCGACCACTGCATCTATGTGCTAATGTGGTATGGCAACTCGAACTGATGTACGTACGTACGAAGTTCTACGTTGTTACTGACTGACTGACTGACTGACTGACTGACAATAGATATATTCCGTTTACTAAACTAAATGCTTTGTATTGTGAGTGGGGAGGGTCCGCTCTCCTTCTCGAAATGCTCTCACATGGCCGCGCTCATATAGCCTCTGCCAGGGAAGTCCTACTCACTGCCATCTCGTGGCGGGGGTGTTGTTTACGAAAGTGAGAGGACGAAAAGCGAATGTCCGGCGCTTTAACCGGATTCCAAATCAATGGTGCACATGGGCTCCAGTATCCTGTGGGAACAAATGGCGTATGAACCAATCGTTGGTCACCGGCTTCCGTGGGACTGCGTCTCCTTACGATGCTCCACTGCCTTGTAGATCAGAACTTCAGGTCGAAGGCTCGGAGAGTGGCCCCCTAAGAAAACCACCTGTTTCGGTTTGGGCACCCGAGCAGTATCACAGCCCTCACACATACCGAATGAGATTTGTGTGACGCATATGTATTTGGTGCCTCCTTGTACCAATATCTATGTGTTAAAATAAATAATAAATGTCAGGTTCTAGGACAGATGTGCTTATCGGCGTCCGACAATAATAGTTTTTCTTCACTTAAAAGCAGCATTTGAGTCGGTAGACCGAGAGGTTCTGTGTCAGTGTCTGTCATTGAAAGGCGTGCTTCAGAAGTACATAAACTTTGTGATGGCCCTTTTACTGGAACACTACCAGTCAAGTCAGAGCTTATGGCTAACTGTTATCTGATTTTTCAACCTCAGCTGATGTCCGTCAAGGCTGTCCACTATCTTCATTTCTTTTTAATTTCATCATAGACATATCGCTGCAAATAACGTTCTCGTCGTCTGGATTTTCAGGATTTGATCTCCTACCAGGAGGTCCACTTATCGGCTTAGAATACGCAAATGACATAGTCCTGTTTGGTGGAGACACTGATAAAATGCAATCTTTTGATGGCACTGAACAAAATTGCCAGAATGTTTGGACTGCGTTTCTCCTTCTCTAATGGCGAATTGTTGCTTCAGGACTAGTCTGCATCAACATCTGAACTAAGGATAGGGAGTGAAGTAGTTGAACGCGTTGACAACTTCACTTATCTTGGAAGTCTGATCAGCCCTAATGGGTTGGTGTCTGACGAAATCTCAGCACGGATCCGAAAAGCTCGTTTGGCATCTGCCAACTTACGTCACCTATGATGAAGGCAAGATATCCGTCTATCAATTAAGGGACGAGTGTACTGCGCGGCAGTTTGTTCTGTTCTACTTTACGGCTGCGAAACATGGCCATTAAGAGTAGAAGATACTCGTAAGTTCCTAGTATTTGATCATAGATGTCTTAGTGTTGGAGATGGTTAGAAGAAAGTTAGAGGCGGCAAATCAAAAGTTGGCATCAATCCATAAAGTCACTAACTTCTTTTCTGAGTCATGTTGGTAGATGCAGACTACTTGGTTCGGGGTCCGCGTGACTATCGTGATCAATGGTTGAAGACTCTGGGTGACATGACTCAGAATCGATCACAGCGGCGTAGGTGTATACATTCTTTGCCTTCCTTTAAACCGTGAGATTAAAATCGCTTCATATCTTTCTTTCTACCAACTAATTCTTTCTTCCTGTACTATGTCCTTATACACAATCTTTCTTTTATATATTACTACCATTGAAGTAACTACTACTATGAATCCGGTGTTCATTTTGTTGTGCTAATGAGGTATGGCAAATTGGACCGGTTCATATATGTGCCTTGTCGTACGATGTAGCTGACCGACTGACTGAACACGTAATAAAGTATGCACGCTCATACAAACATGATAATAATTATGTGAATATAGATACGTCGTTGCCATTCCAATAATACTGTTAACTAAGTTAACTGAAAGGTTTAACAAAATTAAGCGCATACAAATTGAATTGTAGGTGAGGTGCTATAGTATCATTCATTTACTGTTATGTTTCTCATGTCTTCATTTGTATCATAAAGGTAATTAACCACAATACTTGTCTGTTCTAAATTCTGTAGTTCATCTCTCATTTATCATTATCTAGTAAGTTATTCATCTAATTGACGGTTTACTAACTAGCTTTCGACGTTCATAATATCAGCTCAATTCGTTCAAGTATATCACAAATTAAATCATTTTCGAGCTAGTAGAACAAACCCATATCGAATAAATCATTATTATCTAATTAAAACTACTTATCTTAATGTTTTAAAGTAGTTGAGACTAGTTTAGAACTATGTAGTTTTTCGTTATTATATTCAGAACATTTTAACAGTTAAACCTATAAGATATTCATAACAAAGTTTATTGTTATCTGTCTGTTGCGTTTTTCTTTTCTACTTAATCTTTGAATACTCTTACAACTATCCAACCGTTATATTACGGTTTTGTAGTCTGAATTTTCTGTGTAGTCAATTAAACAATATTTGAGTTCAAGTAAAATTTAGACTACCTCTTGTTTCTGTAAGTTTGCAAAAAAAATATAATCAATTTGGTACAGAATTTCTGTTCCTCTAAAGCGTTATTCTCTTAGGTTGATTAATTAATCACCACGACCCCTCATACACACAAAAAATTATTTTATCCTTCTGTAATTTAGATTATGCATCTATACTTGGAATCATCTGCACCAACAAGTAATTATACTTTGTGTTTTTCCAAATTAAATCAACACTATTCTCAATCAGATCTAGTAAGTTAGCTATTTTATGTCAATATTCTATGAATCTGTTCAGTTTGTGATTGGATTATATTTTCTATTTGAAAGTGGAAAATGTTCTTGATGACTAACGTATACAGTTGCCTAGTAGATTTTACTTTTCTTTTCCTTTGATACGGGCTAAGCTATTATAGTCATTAGCTTTGCTTTGGATAACTTTTTCGTTACATTTGTGATAAAATTAGTTTACAATATCAAAAAACTGTGCCAACATCTGGTAAATAGTCTTCGTAATTTTCAATGTTTCTTGTTATCTGCTTAGTTAGTTAGTTTGAGGTCAGTGAGTACTGTTCCCTGGGATGTTTTGCTTCTAATACTACAATTCTGGAGGGTAACTAAAGCTCCTTACACATTTAAGAAATGGCGTTATCTATAGTTCTAGCGAGCTACCCAAATGTTCAGATATAAGATATAGCCGTCCGAGTTGACAAGGCTTAACAGCTGAAATATTTAACTTTCAGTCACTGATTTCATGGGGAAATTATGTTTCATTCAATTGGATTCAGGTAGCCAAATATCAAAACTAGCTCATCCTGAACGTGTCGAAATAAGTGGTTATAGCTTAATATCCTGAAAACACACTCGTTTAGTTGAAAATGAAAATAAAATTGTCTTCCAGGGAAGTTTACTCAAATTCAGAAGGCAGGGTGAGATTTTTATGTTGCTTATTAATAAAGCTAGTTCTACGATTTTAGCTGAATGATATTTCTTTAAAATGGATAGGATTTAGTCAATTCGTAGTAAAATTTAAAACATCATCGGGCTACTGTAGACTCATATTTGATGTAAAACATACTAGTTTAATAGCGGTTGTCTAACCTATTTCCAATAAATCTATAATCGAAAATTATAAACTGTAAATTCTCTATTTCGACCGAAGTTGAAATGTTTTTCGTCTAAGATAAGTCGGTACTACCATTGAGTCTGTTGACTGCACAGAGGTGTGACGGAAGTAAGGTGTCTCCCTCAGACAACCAACATAACAGCGATACTGCCTTCCCACAAGGAGGGCTGTTAGAAAGGGCAGACCCTAAAAATGCACACCTCGCCTTATCCCACGGATATCCATCTCCGAAGGTAAGGTTTCAAGAAGTACGGAGCTAACACGGGAATTACTCACATAAAGATCATGAGTGACCGACATCAAGCAGTTGTTCCTTGGACACTGCGGTCACGCTCTCAGGTCACTAAGACCAACTCTAAACCAATTTCCTTTTCAGGTGGCTCTAGTAAAACCCTTCCACAGTGTGGGCAACCGGGAAATGATAACCACCCTCTTACCTCTAACGGCACTCAAGATCACTAACTGACTGACTGAAAAGCAGTCTGTAAATAACATCACAAAGCACGTAAAAGGGGCCTTAAATATTTATGTTGAAGCAGGCGAAAAACAAACAGCAGACCTGTTTTATGTGTTAATCAGAATTACACCGAACGGAGTGTTTTACACCATCAATTATTTCAGTATGAAAATCATTTCTTAAAACTAAAATACCTGCTGGTCTCATGCAACCAATTATTATGTCTCATAAGATAGTTTTGTGAAAATTTAAAGTTTTCAATGGTTTACATCAACAAAATTACAGCCAACTTCATTGTTAAAGATACTTATCTATTTCAACAAGCTCATGCAATTTATTCTGGTCATAAATTTAAGTAAAGCAAGAATAAATATTAGAAAATAGAAAAATAAATTCATTATAACGTAGAATAATTTTTATATTCAAATACACAAAACTGTCAACATAGTTTCTCAAAAGATATTGATTAGATTAAAAGATAGCCTAACTGTTGATAACTTTAAGTCCGGTGCTACTGGACAGTTACAATTACAATTCGGTAGTAGGGAGTTTATTTATTATTTACTTGAACATAGATATTGGTACAAGGGGGCACCAGATACATATGCGCCTCATTTGATATGTGTGAGGGCTGTGATACTACCCGGGTGCCCAAACCAAAGCAGGTGGTGTTCTTAGGGGGCGCCACACCCAGAGCCTTCGACCAGAAAGTCTGATTCATAAAGCAGCGGAGCAACGTCAGGAGATGCAACCCCATGGTAGCCGGTGACCAACAATTGATTCATACACCATTTTTTCCTTCAGGATACTGGAGCCAACCTATGTGTACTATTGGCTTGGAATCAGGGTTTCACAACTCCCCTAAGTGGACGCTCCATGTCCACCAACCCGGTTAAAGCACCGTACATTTGCTTCTCATCCTCTCAATTTCGTAGACAATACCCATGGTGCGAGAAGTCAGTGAGTGGGACTTCATGGCAGAGGCTATATACGCGTGGCCATGTGAGAGCATTTGGAGAGGGAGAGCTGACTCTCCCCACTCGGCCATACCAAGGCATTTGGGGGCGGTAGTAGGAAGACTTATGGATATTTTTGATACATTTAAGTATTAAAACTATTTTGAGTTTGTTATGAATCCATACTTAAAATCAAAGCCAACAAAAGGATGATATTATATGTATTTTGCTTAGCTTCATTGCCCAACTATTATGATAAAACATTTATGCTTGCATCCTAGAGTATTTTAATTCACCTGTAGAATTTGTACACTAAAACAAGAAAGTTCACACAAGGAATTTATTTCTTTGCTAGTTCCGATGTAGACTTTTATCTAAAATCTTATTAACGATTTTTCTAAGTGTTGTATTCAAATTACTTCAAGTTATTGAATTATGTATCGGCTTTATCTTCTTTACATTCACACATACCTTCAATGTTCATGGTTAAATTTGACTGATGAACCTCAATGAATACTAAAGAAATTATAGTCATATAGTCAACCAATTCATGCATTAAGAATACATTATCCAACAATCAGGTTTTATGTATTTGTCGAATTTCATCGATTATAAATGCGAAATCAGTTCACCATTCCACAATAATTATTAATTAGTGTGTATTTAAACGTCAGTCGGTTCATGATCTCAATCAAAAACTTAATAATCTCCACAACCCTTATACTAGTAATTAACATGTGCTCACTGGTGACTAGCTTCGTGAGGAAATTCTCGGAGTTCTAGTGAGAAGCCGTGACCAGTGGAGCTAATCCATGTCGAGTAGAGACAGGTATCTACCTCAGTACAATGGAAGATGGTCGCGCAATTTCGTGGATTGGTTGGTGTTAGACACTATCACCATTGGATGCCGACTCAATGGTCCAGTAGGTTAAGCGTTCGCGCGCGAGACCGAAGGCCCTGGGTTCGAGTCCCATCAGCGGGATCGTGGATGCGCACTGCTGAGGAGCCCCACAATAGGACGAAACGGACGTCCAGTGCTTCCAGGTTTCCAAAGGTGGTCTAACATCAATCGGTTCATCATCTTAATCAAAAATATTCTTAGTTACTATGAATCATATTTTTATTTCATTTTGTTATTATTACTATTATAATCAGCGTCTCAATAATTTACAATAATTGAATTCTAACTAGTCATATTTAAGTGACTACTTATTCTCTTTCATATCATTATCATGATGAATTTCTTCTTTATTGTTTTTTAAGACTGATGAAGTACACAATTTCCGATTACGATTTTTAACACTATTCGTATCTGAGAACAAAGTGAATTGTTATTTAAATGAAAGATGGTTTCCGGCTAGATTTAACGTTTTTAAAAAACTACAACAATTAGCATTTGATATTGTTAAACATTTACCTGAAGTATTATTGGATAAAGTGAGTAATATCAATGACAGTTCACTTTTTTTAGTTTATATTAACGGTTAATAGAATAGGTTAACAAACAATAATGGATAGGAAATTTACTATTATAATATCCGAACCGTCCAATTATCATAATCTCACAATGTCGATATACTGTTAATGTAACTTAACTTTTTATTTGGATACACAAATAAGCTGATAATATTATCACTACCAACTCCGCCTGTAGTTACTGCCGGTTCCAAGCCCCGGTAAAGGAGGAGGGTTTGGCATGGAGTTTGCGACCCCATCCCGTAGAAAACTAACTCGCTAAAAAAACGCTAACCAGAAAAAATAATTCAAACCATTTAAACTCTGCCCTGGGAGTTAGAAGGTCTTCATTTAGAAGAAATATGACGCCTCATGGTGAAAGCCGAGTTCCTTCAAAAGCCACGAGGCCGATGCCCCTTCTAACAACCAGAGCAACAATTTTTATAGGTACATGGAACGTCCGAACAATGTGGGAGACCGGAAAGACCAGTCAAATAGTAACGGAAATGAGGAGATACAACTTGGCATTACTGGGAATCAGCGAAACCCATTGGATCCAAGCTGGACAACAAAGGCTAAATACAGGAGAGATGCTGCTATACTCCGGCTACGAAGAGGAAAATGCTCCACACACTCAGGGAGTCGCTCTAATGCTGTCCAAAGTAGCACGAAATGCACTTGTAGGATGGGAATCTCACTGATCCAGAATTATCAAAGCATAATTCAAAACAAAGAAGGAGGGGATCTTAATGAATATTATTCAATGTTATGCACCCACCAATGATAGTAACGACGACATTAAAGATCAATTCTATGAGAGGCTGCAATCAATCATCGAGAAGTGCCCAAGAAAGGACCTCCCCATTCTAATGGGAGATCTAAATGCCAAAGTCGGAATAGACAACACCGAATATGAAAATATTATGGACTGGGAGAGAGAAACGAAAATGAGGAAAGATTTGCAAATCTGTGTGCATTCAACAAATTGGTCATAGGAGGCACAATATTTCCACACAAACGTATACACAAAGCTACATGAATCTCACCGGGCTACACCACAGAGAACCAGATAGATCGTATTTGCATCAATAAAAGGTTCCGAAGGACAATGGAAGATGTGAGAACCAGGAGAGGAGCTGATATAGCTTCAGATCACCACCTAGTTGTGGCCAATTTAAAACTAAAGCTAAAGAAGAACTGGACAACTGGACAATACTTTGAAGAACTCCTGAATAGGCCGGCTCCAACGAATCCACCGGACATCGAAGCAGCAAACACAGATCTTCCTATAGATGTCAACCCACCAACTACGGAAGAAATCAGAATGGCCATCAGACAAATCAAGAGCGGGAATGCAGCAGGACCCGACAACATACCAGCTGAAGCACTGAAGTCAAACATCGAAGTAACTACAAACATGCTTCGCCTTCTACTCAAAAAGATCTGAGAGGAGGAACAAGTGCCGATGGACTGGAAAGAAGGATACCTCGTCAAGATTCCAAAGAAAGGAGATCTGAGCAAATGCGAAAACTACAGAGGCATTACACAGTTCCGGATAATATTGACAATCTTCTCAGGAACTCCATAGTGTCGAAGAAGTTTTCATAAAATCCTCCTATCCACACTGTGTAATGCCTCTGTAGTTTTCGCATTTGCTCAGATCTCCTTTCTTTGGAATCTTGACGAGGTGTCCTTCATTCCAGTCCATCGGCACTTGTTCCTCCTCCCAAATCTTTTTGAATAGAAGATAAAGCATGCTTGTGGTTGCTTCGATGTCTGATTTCAGTGCTTCAGCTGGTATGTTGTCGGGTCCTGCTGCTTTCCCGTTCTTGATTTGTCTGACGGCCATTCTGATTTCTTCCGTAGTTGGTGGATTGACATCTATAGGAAGATCTATGTGTGTTGCTTCGATGTTCGGTGGATTCACTGAAGCCGGCCTATTCAGGAGTTCCTCGAAGTATTCTACCCATCTGTTCCGCTGTTGTTGAATTCCAGTGATTGGCTTGCCTTCTTTGTCTTTGACCGGCCTCTCTGGTTTACTGTATTTCTCTTCTAGTTTCTTCGTTGTATCGTAAAGCTGTTTCATATTTCCTTCTCTAGCAGCTTTTTCCACCGTCGTTGCTCGTTCTTCCACGTACTTCTTCTTGTCGACTCTAATACTTTTCTTCACTTGCTTGTTTGCTTCTATGTATTCAGCTTGTGCTTGGACTTTCTCTGTTCGTGTTCGGCTGTTGTTTATTGCTGCCTTCTTGTTCTTCCTTTCTTTGATCTTGTCCAGTGTTTCTGTAGAGATCCATTCCTTATGATGGTATTTCTTTAGACCGAGAACCTCTTGACACGTTGAAGTTAATGCTTCCTTGATGCCTTTCCAGTTGTCCTCCATAGTAATTTCTTCTTCTTTCAATAGATCTCGTAAGGCTTGGAACCTGTTGTTGAGAGCTATCTTGAATTCATTGAGTTTGACAGTATCTCGAAGGAAGGCTGTATTGAACCTTTGTATTGCTGTTTGTCCAGTTGTCCAGTTTTTCTTTAGCTTCAGTTTTAGATTAGCCACAACTAGGTGGTGATCTGAAGCTATATCACCTCCTCTCCTGCTTCTCACATCTTCCATTGTCCTTCGGAACTTTTTATTGATGCAAATATGATCTATCTGGTTCTCTGTAGTGTGGTCCGGTGAGATCCATGTAGCTTTGTGTGGAAATATTGTGCCTCCTATGATCAATTTGTTGAATGCACACAGATTTGCAAATCTTTCCTCATTTTCGTTTCTCTCTCCCAGTCCATGTCGTCCCATGATATCTTCATATCCGGTGTTGTCTATTCCGACCTTGGCGTTTAGACCTCCCATCAGAATGGTGAGATTCTTTCTTGGGCACTTCTCTATGATTGATTGCAGCCTATCGTAGAATTGATCTTTAATGTCGTCGTTACTATCATTGGTGGGTGCATAACATTGAATAATATTCATTAAGATCCCCTCCTTCTTTGTTTTGAATTATGCTTTGATAATTCTGGATCAGTGAGATTCCCATCCTACAAGTGCATTTCGTGCTACTTTGGACAGCATTAGAGCGACTCCCTGAGTGTGTGGAGCATTTTCCTCTTCGTAGCCGGAGTATAGCAGCATCTCTCCTGTATTTAGCCTTTGTTGTCCAGCTTGGATCCAATGGGTTTCGCTGATTCCCAGTAATGCCAAGTTGTATCTCCTCATTTCCGTTACTATTTGACTGGTCTTTCCGGTCTCCCACATTGTTCGGACGTTCCATGTACCTATAAAAATTGTTGCTCTGGTTGTTAGAAGGGGCATCGGCCTCGTGGCTTTTGAAGGAACTCGGCTTTCACCATGAGGCGTCATATTTCTTCTAAATGAAGACCTTCTAACTCCCAGGGCAGAGTTTAAATGGTTTGAATTATTTTTTCTGGTTAGGGTTTTTTTAGCGAGTTAGTTTTCTACAGGATGGGGTCGCTAACTCCATGCCCAATTCTCCTCCTTTACCCGGCCTTGGGACTGGGAGTAACTCTAGAACAGCTACAGGAAGAGTTACCTTGCAACGTGAATAAGACAATTTGCAATTTGTCGTCCTTTGCGTGTTGTGTCGATGATGCTGAAAGCTGCCGTTAATTGTTTTACAGTATCATTCATTTGAAAACGTTCAAGATTGTGCTATTACCTTGATATTTTGCGAATGCAGTTAGTGAGCTTGAGAGTTCATATAATATTTTTGAAGTGGTAACCTGTAATTTTATTATATATCTGGTTGCTCTACTATCTCATTCTGATAACAAGGAAGTAACAACTAGGAACTAAAGTTTTCTAAATAGTATGTACCTCATCACCCGTGATTCTTCAGGATATTCTAATGATCTACACTACTCGAAGTCTATTTATTTCCATTAGTGTGTTGAGCTTAAAACTGTTTATCGAAATCCTAGTAATCAATATTTTAGTTATCGATCAAGTCATTACACAATATGATTCGTTATTTAGTGATATGTTTTAATCAATCAATTGATTTCAATAAGATCTCAATTAGTTGTTTTCCATATCAATTACTGATAAGTATATATGAAAATTTGACTTAAACTTCATGTTTCAATACTAATATTTCAGAGTGTGTGGTTGATGATTGTTTAGTCTAATGATTGTATTTACTCAATTTTAACAAAGTTCACAATGTTTTCAATAATCCTTATTGAATGTTCTCTTAATGAGAGTTTAAAAAAACAGTAATCAATTTTAACTTGGTTATTTATTCTCTGAAGAAGTGAATTACACTAAGTCACGAAACGTCAGAAAATCTAATTTTCTACTCATTGGGATATTACAAATATATTATATTTATTTATAACAATCTACCTAATGCTCAATTTATTCGAAATTATCAATTCAAACCTTGGTAATGATACCTACAAAGTTCACAATGTTTTCAATAATTCTTATTGAATGTTCTCTTAATGAGAGTTAAAAAAAACCCCCCAGTAATTAATTAATGAATAATTTTTTTTATTTCATTGAAAGGTTGGATCAAGTGAATGGGTATATAATGATGCAATACTATTAGAATTAAATACACTTTTAGCTTTAATTATACGTCAACAATTTATTCGTAAATCTACATGTACAGAAGAAGATTTATTTGAATTGATTCATACTTATCATTCTCAATCATGTCCATCTCAGTTACTTTAAAATTGGTAGATTGTTTGTTTGTGTTTGTTTATTTGTTTGTTTATAATTAAATTGAATTTTGTAAATAGTTCTACAAATTGTACTTTTGGCTTTTTTTGTTGTTGTTGGCTACATGTTGCCATAATCATGTTTTATCTTTTTCAATGTGAAGTTTTATTTTCATAATCATTCTTACATGTATTTATTTGTTAAAACAGTAGAAATGTGTTATAATGGTTAATACTACTAAATGGTAAAAAAGAAAGAATCATAATGATTATGTAAATTCTAGTGCATTAGTAATATATAAATACTTACTTACTTACTTACGCCTGTTACTCCCAATGGAGCATAGTCCGCCAACCAGCATTCTCCAACCCACTCTGTCCTGGGCATTCTTTTCTAGTTCCATCCAATTCTTGTTCATTCTTCTCATGTATATTTCCATTTCCCGGCGTAATGTGTTCTTTGGTCTTCCTCTTTTCCTTTGACCTTCAGGATTCCATGTGAGGGCTTGTCTTGTGACGCAGTTGGGAATATATAAATATGGTAATGGAATTAAAGTCAAAATAATTAATTTATGAATAACAGATCATGTACTGTATCATATCAATGGTTCGCATAAGTCAGTCAATCAGCTACAATGTAGGACCAGACACATATATACATCGGTCCAAGTTGCCACACCTCATTAGTAAAAACAAGATGTACACCAAATTCATAGAAGTAGTCACTTCAATGGGAGTGATGTATAAAATAAAGATTGTGTATAAGGATATCCAGTCAGCCAGTGATAAAGTAGAACTTTGTACGTACGTACATCAGTTCGAGTTGCCATACCACATTAGCACACAGATGCAGTTGTCGAATCCAATCCCATAGTGGTAGAGGTAGTAAGAGTATAAGCAGTAATCGGGAAGATTAGGGTTTGGAAATGTTATTTAAAGAGTATAATCCAGTGAAATAAATTTGGGAAGAGAAAAAAGAGACAAGGAGGATTCAGGAGATTAGAATTCGAGAGAACAGAAAGAGTGGATGTACCTGCCTCATTGCAAACGATTTTGAGCCATATAATTCAGGGTCTCTAACCATCGGTTTCTATCATCTCGCGGTCCCCAACCAGGTAGCCTACACCTACCAATATGACTCACTCCACTTGTCAGTGACTTCATGGACTTGTGCCATGCTTTGGTTTGACCGCCCGTAGCTTTCTTCCAACCTACTCCTATACCACTGAACATCGCACGTCGGGGTAATCGGTGATTGGGCATACGTAACACATGTCCCAGCCATCTCAACTGATGAAGTTTCACTACTTCATCAATTGATTTGCCATCCTTACCTAGTACCCGTTTCCTAACAACTGTGTTACTTACTCGATGGTCCCATGATATACGAGCAGTGTTTGGAAGACACCTATGATCAAATACTAGTAACCTACGAATATACGATACAGGAAGAAACAATTAGTTCGTAGAAAGAAAGATATAAAGCAATTTTAATCTCTTAGTTTAAGGGAAGAGAGAGAGTGTATACACCTACACCATTGTGATCAATTCCTAAATGGCAAATAGAGGTAAAAAAAATTTCAAAAGTCCCTGTATAAAGTCCAACTTTATTCTTAGGATCAAGTACAGGATTTACCAATTGCATGACGAAATTAGGATTTAAGTAGAAAATTTGCTTGATTCAATTTAGGCTTTTTTTCATTTACAACTCCTTCTAGAGCATATGCTATACTTGGGATTGATTCTTTTGGATCGGCCATCTACATAAAATGAAAATGTTTTTTACCATTAATAAATGAATTCGATATTGATTTCTTAAAGTTTTGACGGACAGTTACTTTTCTTTCAGAAGATTCATTGGTTATTTTCTCAATACAGTTAAACTTCAAGAATTTCAGAAGAAAATACACGTTTTCGTTCTTCAATGGTTCACAAGTATCGTTTCTTCATCAGAACCTTTTGTTGCACTTCGACTGTCTTCTTTATCCCGTCTCTTCAAAATTCATTAGTTTGCTCTGTTTACGAGTTTTTTGTGAGATTGATGTGTGGTAGTGAAAGTGTGGTTGGTCACTGAGTTTGGACAAAGAGACACACAACTTACTGACTATTAAATGTGTAATTCCCTTTCCATTTATTGATTTGTACTCCAGACCCACTGAGAGTGACTGCTTGTAATTGTAAGGTACAAAGTGTTGTATAATTTGTACTCCAGTTTTCTATTCGTGATCATGAATCTTGTATCTGATATAATGTGATCTACATGTGTATGGAGGATCGTTCGAGTATTTTATCCTGAAGTAGTATAAACTCAGTTATCCAGCCCAGTCTTATTACCGTCTTAGCATAGAATACCGCAGAGAGAAATCTATCTGAATCCGTCCATTATATCGGAAATCCATTCCTTAATTATTATACGAACTAGGGAAACAGCTATTAATGACTTTTGAATGTCTGTCTAGTTATTTTTGCACTCCTCAGATTTAGAGTTGTGCTTTTCATTGCTCTATGAAATTTCCTGGACTCTTCTGCTACTTCGAAAATCGTCTGCTATTTTGTGGATAATGCATTCTATACATCCAAATTCCAAACCTTTTGTTGGTGCATGACTTGGAAGGTACTATTCATAACATTCTAGCGGATTTAATGGCTACTAACTACGATTTTCTAGCTACGGTGTGACTAGATGTTACAATTTATTCAGACTAAACAGTTGATGATCGATTGTATCCTAAAACTACGCCCGAAAACTGTCTAGATAATCTGAAATGCTCTTGTTTCTTTTTCTCTAGAGTTACGGAATTCGCATTTGTACTAGTAGTTCTTACAATAATGGTGTCAACAATATATACGAACAAAAACTGGTAAAACGTTGTGTCTTGAGTATGATAGATTACTGTTATAATGAACTTCTTGAAAATGAATTTATTATTCTGAAAAATAGCATTTATTATAGTAGAATGTTAAAAAGGCATGTACATTCTGCCTAACTTCGTGAACTTTCATATGAGGTTACACGAAGATAGATAAACTCATTGACATTACGACATCTTTAATGAAGCGGTGAAATAAATTGGTCTAATTCTTGCAAAATTTATCATGAGAATGAAAATGCAGTACTGAAATTTGTAGTTGTTGTAAATCTGCTGGAAAATAATGTTTCATATTAAGTGGAGGCAATAGCGTACCGGAGTTAATCACCAAGCCATTAATAAATTTTTCACCGGATATTAACCAGTTGGAGGATAAATGAACATAAAGAAATGTTAGTGGACCAGTAAATAGTGAATTAGAATTGTCGATTTATTATTAACGTATGTAAAAATGACATGAATTCTATTTAAGAGTAAAATGAATTAGCATAGTCACTAATAATTTAACATAAAAATGATTTAGTAAGTCACACTGAAATAGCACTAACTGGTGAATGATACTAGTAGTTGTATTTGCTTTAGTGGGAATGTTACGCTACAATAATTAGTTATTATGTATCGTCGACAGAATCCTAATCCCAAGTGTCGGCCTCCTTTTACATCTGTATTAGCAAGCTAATTGAAAGCACCGGAGAAAGCAGATCATTATTTGAACATATGAAGTAAGCAGTCGGTTAGTACTCAGATGTTTGAGAGATGAGATAATTGTAGGTTGTTACAATCGGTAAAGCTCCTAAACTACAAGTAACGGTGGCATTTGATGTTTGATATGTTTTCGACTGATATATCATATGTATGTGATGATAAATGGTAAGTGCTCCATTGTAGTCCAAAAATTAATCATCAGATCACCGTCAAGCAGAACATGAGTAGTAATCAAAAAGTTTCCCTATGACACCTCTACAACATTGGTCCCTACTGTTGTCGATGTTTGGTAAGTGCGATATTGTTGCTGTTAGTTCTCAGGAGGTTTGCTTGAGATTCGGGGTCATGATTGTGTCACCAGACCACCAGTTGAAACGATCAGGTTGTGAGTTATTTACTATAAGAGTGTATGTATTGAAATCGTCTGTTAGATAAAAACGGTCATTAGAAAGCAATACCTCATTTGTCGAGTAGTTACTTATATCTATCTGTCGACAAAGTCATTTTCAACGGATAATCGAGTGTACCGATCATATTTCTTGATTGTCAAGTCATACAGGTGCTTTATGATGCATATATGATGTTAATGACTCATTGATGTTGAATGCAAGCAGTACTATTTTTGATGCGTTGAACCATTTATGTCTTTCATTTGCTCACTTCTGTAGTGACTTCATATCTACAAAAGCTTGTCCTTTTTTGAACTGATTTAGGGCTAAATTATCTTATGAATGTTAAATGCGTCAATCACAATCCTATTAATTGTGAACTTTTACCCATGAACCATATTATTCTTGGACTATATAAACTCAAATTGCTTTTGACTGAGAATTCAAACCTACAGTACGATTGATATTTACATTAATCAATTAATCACTTCACAAAATACACCATATATGATTCTCATTTCATACCAACTCAGTACTCTATACAATTGTTCTACTGGATTACTGTGTGTGAAATCTACCTACAAAACATCTAGTACTTGACTTTCAACATTACATTGAATTCTAAGTTCGTTATACAACAGGAAAAGTCGTACCACTAACCTGAGACCAATAAAATGTAGTCGAATATGCTTCCGAGAATTGGTGAGCCTCACAAATGCAATAAATGCAGCATATCTTGCAAAGGTTCAAGTGAATTCCCACGTGTAGATTGTCCTACTGATGTCGAAGTCATTGACAGTGTAACTGCAACGCTGCATACCACAGACTTGTAGAGGTTATCTCCTTTCCATTTGACTCCAACATATGATGTTCGGTTAACAAAACTTTAGTAGGCCGATTCTCCCCTAGCAGTGCTATGAATTTACCTCAGAATATCCAAAAGTCAGAACACCAGTTGTTGGGGTAGTGTACTCTTAATCATAAAATTCATAATTACGAGTGAGGCAAGTACATGGGGGAGTGAGTGTGTGAGTCAAAATCGAAATTTCTATCTGTGTTAATCAATTGTAGGTAAGTTATTGGCTGTCTGTGTAAACAACCAATGGGAGGATAGATAAAGATTGAGGTGCAAATATGCGTTTAATCAGACCCACAGATACTTTAACATAATGGGTTAAATTACAGCAGGTAGGCAATAAAAAATTCAGTGTGTTAATTATAGATTACTACAAACCTATTGTTACGACGCAGTGTTTCAACGTTGCATCAAATTATTTTACCTTCTAACATAATGGAGTTGTTATTTTGAGTGATATTGCTTAAAGTGTGAGAGAACACAATGCAATCAATTACTGTGCAAGTA